AACAGGACATAAGCTAGACACAAAGAGATTAGAAAAGGTGATATGATGACAAGGTGTAGTCGAAAGACAACAGGTCAATATTTCTGTACTACTCGCTGGTACGGAGGGATGGAGGAGGCTAGGTTAGCGGAAATATGGTTATAGCAGGTTCAAGGACACAAGGTGACCCTGCTCTTTCAGGGTAAGAAGGGGCAAAGAAAATGCCTCGAGCCAAGGTCCGGGTACCAAGCATTGCTGAAGTATGAGATCTATGGACTAGCCATTGCTTTTCCACGAGGCTCATACCAGGCGCTACGGCGTAGAAGTATGTAACTTATGCCCTACTCCTAGGAAAAGCTCGAAAGACCATCAACAAAGGGTACCTATACCCAAAACTGACATAGGTGGGTATACGTAGAGAATACCTAGCGGCGCAAAAACAACTATCTCTAAGGAACTCGGCAAAATTTCCCTGTAACTTCGGGAGAAGGAGTGACCACTCGCAAAAGGTCGCAATTTTACCTAAATTATTTTTTATGTGAAATGGATTTTTATATGGGACATTGGTTAATTTTTGCTAGCAAATTAATACTCCCTCAACTCCAAATTGCAAGTTATTCTAATTTTTTAGATAGCTTTTGCTACCCATCCGGATATGTATTATACCTAGATATACTAGAAAAATTAGCACAACTTTCAATTTGGTAGCTTCGAACCAAAATGCCTAACAAGCTACGTTAAGATCAGAGAAGAAGGCACATGATATTGATTCGATGGATCTCGAGCTTCAATTCATTTCATGTTGATCTTCCAAAAAAAAATCAATTCATGTTTCTGTCGACAAATAGATACGTATCATCACTCCTGTTAAAATGACGCCCCCTGGTGATTTCCCAAAGTAAACGATTTACACGAAGGATTAAAGTGGCTCTCCATGATTAGGCTGTGCCGAGTGCTTGTGAAAGATTATTATGGCCTTGTTTATTGGCGTGGTCTACAGTTAAGAAACGGCTTCTTCCCTAATTACGTACCAGTACTGTTTAGCAAATCTTCGTCTAATACAGTAAGTTCCCTTTGGATTATAGGAAAAATTCATGTTTCTTTTTTTTTGAAATAAACTGATTTCTGCAAAATTTGAGTATAATTTAGGTGGAAATCGTGCGTTCCAAAAGAGTCTAAAAGGTTAGGTGCTGTATTTGTGTGACACCAGAGTGAGAGGGTGCGGCGCCCCCCAGCCCCAGGAGCAGCTCTGATTACCGCGTCTGATTAGACTGTCTCCGACCGCCGTTACCAAAATACAAGATTTATTTCATGTTTAATAATGTTATAGGTAAAAAGTTTAATATCTATTTTTTATCTTTTTTAACACTAAAACTTAAAAAAGAACTCTTTCTACGTATGGGTATTCGGAACAGAGATTTGAGGTATACCTGATTTGTTATTTTGGATTTGGTCTCGGTCTGCCGTCCGAGACAGCCTTACCACCGGCACAAAAGCGATGCGCTGCCAGATTTCGGTGCGCTTCTCTCTCTCTCTTCCTTTTTCTCACTGCCCTGCCCAGTGCCCACCCCGTGCATCGATGAAACTGTGGGCCACCCCACACGTGTTGTTGTTGCATCCCAGGCCCCCCCGGCGTCGGCGCCGCTCTGCCCACCCCAATCCATCGCTTTGGCACTGCTCGCTTGTTTGCTTCCGTCTCTCGAGTCTGGACAGATGACGACGAACACATGCAAAAATAATGATTCCATTCTTCATTGGGCATCTATCTACTCACGCACACGTCGGGAAAAAATAATGATTCCATTTTTCAAAGGAGCGTAAAAGAATCAGCTGTTACCAATTGGCTTGGTCAGCTAAGAGATGCTATGTATGAAGCTGATGATATGCCAAATCCAAAGGAAGCAAGCTATTGCGAGGCCATTCTTCATCATTATCAAGCAGTTCAAATACATGCAGTGCCCTTACCCTTTCCCTTTCCTCTTGCTTTTCTAGTATTCAGACACGTCATGAGGTTGCTGCCAAGATTAAAAACTTAAACAAAAGAATTGATAACATTTCAAAGGATAAAAATTGGCTACAGCGTCAGATTCGTGGCCCAACAGGCCCACAAACACAAGGGCCACACCCCCATGGGCCATGGCTTAGACGCCACTCTCTCTCTCTCTCTCTCTCTCTCTCTCTCCACCTTCTTTTATTGCCTTTCTATTCTTGTTTAGTTTGTCCCTTTTAGTAAATATATATACCGTTGAAATAAGAAACATATAATTTGTTGCATAGTCCCATATCCGTCCATACAAATTATAACAAACTAGCTATTTTTATTAGAATTAATTAGCATATGAACCCAACCTTATTTTTATTAAATCGGATAAATTTTAAGATCCATAGTAAATGCTAACGCTAGGAGCAATAGAGGATTAACTGAGTGTGAGAAACTGCATGTAGATTGACTTATCTTCACGCTAATGCTATGACTAGGGCGTGTGCATCCGGACGCACCTAGGCCTGAGCAGCGAATATGGCCCAACAACAATCAACCTGCTTCCCTCTATCCTCTCTCCTTCATCTCTACCCAGCGACATAACCCCCACCGTTAGAAATCCCCACTCGCTTCGCGCGTCGCAGCTTCAACGCATCGGACACCCGCCCACTTCGCCCGACGTCCCCATCCCTCTCCGCTCCGCATCTGCCGCCACGTCGCGCCCACTCCTCATCCAGAACCTCGTCAACGTCGGCGCAATCGACAAGTCGGATGTCTTCGGCGGTGCGGGGGACGACAGCGACCTTCTCCGAGCGCTCATCAACGCGGACCTCCCTAGCGGGGACCTCGACCTCTGCGTGTGGAAGCTCTTGGCCGTCGCGGCGCTCTCCTTCGCCGGCATGCCCACACTGCCCGGGTATCTCGTCCAAGCAACAAGGTGACATTGCGCAATGCATGTTGCAAGCTTACGTTTCAAGTGTTTCGGATGTTTCATCTGAATGTTTCAAGTGTTTCATCTTGATGTTGCAAAAGTAGATCGTGATGTTGCACATGTTACAATGGCTATACACGTCTGTTTCAAGTGTGTTTCATTTGTTTTTTCAAACGTTCATTGCAAGTGTTTCATCTAGATGTTTTATATGTTTTCACACGTATGTTGCAACTATTTTATCTGGATGTTGCATATGTTTGCAATGGTTTTCAAGAGTTTTCATATGCTTTTTGTAAATGTTTCAGACGCTTGTTGAAAGTGTTCCAGCTGTTTCATGCGAATGTTGCAAGTGTTTCATCTGGATGTTTTAAAAGTAGATCGGATGTTGCACATATTGCAAAGTGACTCAGCTGTCACAACCACATGCTATAGCCGACGCAGGTGTCCGTCCGGACGTCCGGGCGCTAGTGCCATAAACAGGTTACTAGATTGACTCATCTTAAATATAGATGGTTATTGCACATGTTGTGCCATGCCGGATTAAAACCCACTAGGGCTCAGACTTGACCGGATAAGCCATGACATGAACGGGGGCGTCCTATGCGCCGACCTAGGGGGGTGCCGAGTCGAGCGTCGACCAGGGCGCCGACTTGGGCCTCGCCTCGTCCCCGTGTGGCCCACTGTGGTCCACTACCTTGACCTTCTTCCTCGAGACGCGCTTGGCGCCACCATCCGTGGGCTGCGCTAGGGGTTCGCCGAGAGCTCGCCGCCACGCCACACGGCCATGAGTTCTCGACGAACCTAAGTGGCTACGGTGGCCCCTTTCTTCCCCTCCCACGTCCTACTCCCAATGCCTACATGGCCATGCTCACTAGCGAGCCGTGACGCCCCCGCCCTAGCCTGGCCCCTAACCGCCCATACACCATCCCCACTGCCTGGCTTCCCTGCCTCCCCCCGACCTGCTTCCTTCTAAGCCCGACGGAGTTGGAGACGAGGAGGAAGAGAGCTACCGGAGATGGAGACGAGGGCGGTGCCAGCGAGCTCGGGTGGAGGCGTAGGTGCGTTGGTGGGCTTCTGGGCCGCGCTGGTTTGAATCGCGCAGCGGAGGGAGGAAGATAAACAGTGGGAGGTAGGGGGAGGGTTGACTACGCGAAGATTGGCGCATGAACGGTGTGGCGCTAGTAAAGGTTGTAGGAGGATACAGTCTACATGTTCGGTACTTCCCTCATAAGCACTTCCATGTGTCTAGTACTTTTGTGTTTTCGTACAAAGAGATTGCGGGAAGAAATGTGGCTGAAAAAAAAACTTATCAGGGTAAGCTTATCTACCTATTTAGTACTTCTACCTATTTAGTGCAAAAAAACCGTCTGAAAAAGCTTCCCTGAGAAACTATACAAAATGAGGAAAAGTGCGGTCAGAATAAGCCGATCTGACAAAGTTTCTAATACAAAATGGGAAGAAACACGCTAAAAAAGCGCACCATGTAGCTTTTATTTCCAATTTATTTTGGACATAAAGCTTATCAAACAAGACCATAATTAAAGAAAGTCTAATAAAAAAAACCTAAGGCATATCCATATAATGATAATAGTACTTGAGATTACCAATTTTGATTTGTTGTTGCTTTCAAATTTATAAAATGTCTCTTAAAATTCCAAGCACGTGGACAAGCACATGTTGATGCCTATTTCCTATCAAACGGATGTCAATAGTGAAATACCAAAAAAAAGGACAATCAGTCTCCTTTCCACAACATTGTTGAAGAGTGCAGTGCCGGTGATGCAAACCTAGTTCGTACAGGATTACTCTGCTGAAAACTTCATTAAGAACTTTACCTGTTGCTATGCAGCCTAAAAAGTCCAAGCAAAATTCAGCACAGTACTACCAGAATGTCATGAACATGATACACATGACAACATACAAGACAACAAGCACATCTTCACGACACAATAGCCGCTCTATAGTTACACATCATGTCATCATTTTTTCTGAGGGCACATCATGCCAATGTCATCATCTCTTTGGTGCAGCAGAGGCAGATTTTTATCAGTCATGATGAATGCTACTTAGATGATGATGTGGAGACACAGAACTTGCAGCTTCGCTGAATCAGGTGCTTTCGTTCTGCACTTGGAACCATGCGAGCCCTGGCTGACCACACTGCCTCGACTCTGGGATGGGGACTATTGGCCCCAAAAATATGCGCCATAGGTCGAGTATTATCGTGACGAGCATCGCCGCGCCCAAAGAGTCAACAGCTACCCTGGACAGGTTCCACTTCTCATCTTTCTCGTCAATCCTGAACCACAAGTAAACAGAGGTACACTAAGTTGCTGAAAAGGTTATAATAAACCCTCGGATTTCTGTATTTTTAACAAAACAGCACCAAATCAAATCATGGTCACGAAAAAGTTACAATAAGTCCTCATAGTAAGTGCTGTTGGTCTTTATGACAAGTGCTATTTGTCTCAATAATCTGAGTGCCATTTATTCCATTATTTCATCAGGTGGGGAAGACATAAGCTTGCAACATATAATTTGTTACTTAATTTCAGACCGAATGAAAAATAAGTAACCAAGCTTACCATAAAAAGCGAAAAATTGTTCACATAGACAAAATATGAAACAACAAAAAAATCGCAAAACTCAATGAGCCGACACTCTACAGACCCAGCTGAAATGCTAAGCAGGTTCATTCTATTTTGAGGTTTGAGACTTGAGAGATGCTATACACGCTCAATATGTCTACTTAGTATAAATAGATCTTTTGTTTAAACTTAAGAATGATAAACATAGTCTGACTCAGTTATTGAAGGCAAACAGAGAGATGGATAAAGCACAAAAAAGAAATAGTAGAAGCATCGTTGTTCTAAAGGAAATCAGCAGATTTTCTTACCGAATGAAGAGCAAGTGAGTTCAAGTACAAGAAACCAAATACTAAATAGAAAATGATTATGGAACTAGTTGGTCACATCTAAGCTCAGATTCATTTTACCTTGAAAACATTGGGAAGCTGACGATGAAGTATATTGCGTAGAACAAAGAACCTACTTTGTACATTATATCCCGGTCAACGAATTCATAGTATGGGAACTGCAAAAGTCCACACAGAATATCAACCATGAACATGTGAAAAAAAAAGAGAAAGTGATGGACTGACATCAGAAATGGAACACTTGGCTTCTTAGATAGCATTGATGAAATGTGAAAAGATCAGTTGTATTTCTTGTCGAATACCTCAACGCGTACTTGCTCAAAATCTGGTCAGATTTGGATATTTATCCTAGATTTGGTATATATAGTTAGTCCAAGAATCCTGACTCTTTCATCGTCGATTGAATATTTAAATATTTGCATACATTGTGATAGGAGTGCTTGGAAAACAACTATTCACGTGCCTGAACCTTGATTGCTTCTGCTGGGTTTCAACACTAGCCTACCCCAACTTGTTTGGGACTTAAAGGCTTTGTTGTTGTTGTTGTTGTGCAGGTTACCACCTTAAAGCTATATTGTTTCTCACTTGACTAATAGGAAGGATATCATGCTGAAATAAATTATTAGATGGGTCCTCTCAATTATTTAAACTCTATGACTATAGTTGCATGATCTTATGATAATACACAAAGTACTTTGATACTATAATTTCAAGTTTTCTTGGAGTGTGACAATGGTCAAATGAAACTAACACATTGCTGTCTTGAAAAAGAATTGGAAGTAGCATATTATACAAAAAATTACAACTGATGGTACATCCACATGACTTATGAGATAACGAGTCCTAAAACCTATGGCTTATCTATAAGTTTTATCTGCTATTGTCAACGACTAGGTATGTCTAAATGTCCTGAAATGTCTACCAGGTCCAGCATGCCAACATCAACACTAATTTGCAAATGCCCAATGAACTAAACAAGAGATATACAACATTACTACTACAAATTGGGGTGAGCATTAAACTATTTAGTGTAATACTAAGAGATTAATTTTTCAAACTTTCTATATAAAAGGAAAACTGATCGTACTAGAACTAGAAAGTGAAAAGGTAAATATAAGCTAGAACATACATTTGCAATGGCTAGGGTCTCCAGGTACGCTATGAAGTATGACAGTGCTAAAACCCATGCAGCTTCAAATAACCAGCGAATAGACTGTGGTAAGTGAGCTGTAGAGTGACGTAATCTACGGAGTGTCATATTTGATGCCATATGATAGAACAGGAAACAAGCATGGGTCAGAAGAAACGTCGTATGGGGTACCTGAAACATGAAAGTAATTTAAAAAATCATAAATAACACTGCAACTGTGATCAATCATTAACTCAGAAAAAATTGGGAACAAGGTTCTTGGACACATTTTTCTCTCTTCTTAAAATGATTGCAGAACATACATGCCAGCTCAACTATCTAATTTCTATTGTCAGTTTTTCTGAAAGTGCTAATGCAGGTGAACCCTGCAAGCTTGGATTCAGATTCTGAAACCAGAGTGGTTCCACATACCATTTTCTCTGTCATTTACTGAAAGTAGGGAAACAGGAACATATCATTCCAAACCTTGTTATAAAAAAATATGTTAATTAAACTAATAATCCAGTTATTCCAAATTGTGATGTGATCGAGGTAACGGATTTCCCTGTTCCACAACCATCCTGGATCTTCCTTATCAATAAAATAATAACAATAACTTCTCTATTCAATTTTATCCAAGTAGACCTTAAGAACAGCACCAACAAGTATTAGTAGTACATAGTCATCTATTACTATGACATCACATCGAATTTCAATACATTGAATTGGCCAGAATTTATCTAAGATAGAGAAAATTCAGTTTAACTGCGGTGATGTAGGATTGCAAACATGGAACCTCTAGCTGTACTATCACATGCATGTTGGAACACATGACAAACAAGTTGCAGTACTTGTAACTGTGCATCTGCATAACAAAGATGCCACTGAAAATAAGGGAGAACATCTAGAAGCCATCAAGCCTTACATTATTCATCCTCCATGATGGAAAAGTATATGACGCGCCAAGAACTGTGAAGAAGTAATGTGTCCAGAAGTAGTTACCAACATAGCTAAAAATTATAATCCAAATATTAGCCTGAAATGGTAAGATGTGTTTTGGATTTAGCAAATGGTTTTGAAAAGATAAACTGAACCAACAAATCTCACTAGTAAAAGGAAATCCATAAACAATTGAGAAGTACAGGTCTAGTTCTTTATATGGTAGCTTGCTACAGAATCATTAAAGTAGCTGCACACTGAATTCAAATCATAACGATTTTAAAGTCCCAATTCATCAGATACAAATTGGTATATTTCCGCAAATTTCCTGCATAGTTTTTCTGCACTCACTAGGTGAAATTAAAACTCATTAAAGTTAACTAGTTTAATATTATAGGATCTGATGTACAGTAACAAATATAATTTACACAATGTTGGGCTATTCCATGAAAAGAATTCTTTAATATTTATAAACCTAAATTGTCACAAGTGATTCACAAATGAAAATAATTACCTTGACCCAGTATCGATCTTTCAAATTTCTAACACTATCTGCCTGAAAAATGAAGTTAAGGATAAATTAGTTTCTGAACATATGAATTTGCTTTACAATAATAAGAAAGGTTCGCGTTAAATAAATAATATTAAGAAAATGGCTGCATTTTTAATACAAAAATGAATGGCAACATCTTTAAGGGAACCAAAGAAAGTCAAACACCAGTTTTCTTTTAATCTCCAAAATGATAGCCAGCATGTAAGCTGGAAGAAAAGTACTGGTACAACAGAACAAAGGGCAGTATTCAGACATACTGAACATAACCTTGTATGAATTATACAAATCCCCCATAAGGTTGTCTTGACAAATCACAAAAATGAACATGTTTTTTTTATGAAACTGGAAAATGAGCCTGTTTTGATACATGATTAAAGATAACAGGTGCTATCAAAGTTGAAAAGAAGAGCACATGACCGGCAGCATCAACGCAGGCATGCCACAGGGCTTGTGGCTGACAAATGCAGCATGTCTCAGGGCAGAGGGGGAAAACACAAACAGCAAAGAGGGCCCATACTGGAGTGGGCTTAAATCTAATGATCTTCCAGCAACAGAGCATCGTGTATCTTGCCCTCTCTCCCCGTACCAGTCTGCTCTGCATTTTATTAGTTTGCCATGGATTTATATTCCTTTCGGACATTCTCAGATCAATGGTAGATGGTAGATAGTTGAGGATATTAGCAATATGTTAAATCGAGCTTATGCAGCCTCACTTTGTGGATCACAGAAAAATTGGGTCTTGTAAGGATATATTCTTGAAGAATTAACATAAAGCATACATATTATATGACCTTACTTGGGTCCGGAAAGATAAAAGCAGGACATATGTTGGCGAGATGAGCAGCCACAGCCGAGGGAACAGAACAGGAGGGTGGTATGGGCTGTGTTTATTTATGGATCAGTTGGGAATTCCCTACCGAGGAAGAGGGGATGACGAACGCCGGGTGGTGGACAACTGCGGCTGCCAAGGATCAGGCGAAAGGCCCCAGCTCCGTGATAATCTTTACATGGCACAAGAAGAGAATGGGCAGAAAGATAGTAATGTATCAATAGTTTATTCACGCAACAGCACATCCTGATCTCGTGTTAGTGGCCACATTGTGCTCGTCGAGATCCAGTAGGGCAATCGACAACCCGATCGACGGACCGACCAATAAGCAACTGGAGAATCATGTTGTGGGTCTAGATGAACACAAGATGATGAGTGGAGGAGCAGCAAGCACCTAGTTAGAGCTTGAAGGGGACGACGACGCCGAGGTCAGAGCGTGAGCTTTGTAAGGGCGTGTAGAGCAGGAAGAAATGACCCCAGCACTTGCTCCCCGTCCGCCGCCAGAAAAAAAAATCCTACCTCCCCGCGCCACCGCCCCTTGGCAAATCCCCGGCCGCCGCGCAGCTGCGAGAGAGGAGAGGAGAGCCTGTTTTGATACATGATTACGATAACAGGTGCGCGCAAAGTTGAAAAGAAGAGCACATGCCAGGGCAGCATACGCACCTGCCATTGGCGGGCTGGTGACGCTTGCAGCCGCCCTCCCGCAGAGGAGTCAGGACGCCAGCAAAGAGGGATGGGATCGAGCCGGAGCCGAGGTGCTGCGGCCTGCGGACGCATCTGTCGCCTGTCGGGCTGCGTGCGGCCAGTCTGCTCTGCAGTGGCCGAGTGGGGAAGGGACTTGCGGCTTTTCATTTTAATGGTAGTGGTAGATATTTTGATATTTAGCAATATGTTATAACGGAGTCAGTGCTCCTCACTGGTATGGATTACTTAAAAATGCTCCTATATATTTACCTTATATTCTGAAGAATTAACATAAAGCATACATATTATATGACTTTACTTGAACAGAAAGCATAAAGCATGCATATGTTGGAAATGTCAGCCACAGCCGAGGGAACAGAACAGGAGGGTGGTATTTATTTATGGATTACCTTCCCTACGAGGAAGAGGGGGATGACGAACGCCGGCACGGTGGACACCAAGCCAAGGATCAGGTACCCCAGCTCCGTGAACCTCTGTACATGGCACAAGAAGCCAAGAATGGGCAGAAAGATAGTAATGTATCAATAGTTTATTTACGCAACAGCACATCCTGATCTCGTGATCGTGGCCACATTGTGCTCGTCGAGATCCAGTAGATCCAATCGACAACCCGATCGACGGACCGACCAATAAGCAACCGAGAATCATGTTGTGGGTCTAGATGAACACAAGATGATGAGACGGAGGAGCAGCAAGCACCTCGTAGAGCTTGAAGGGGACGACGACGCCGAGGCAGAGCGTGAGCCAGAAGGGCGTGTAGAGCAGGAAGAAGGCCTCCCCAGCGCTTGCTCCCGTCCGCCGCCAGCCACGCGTCCTCCTCCCCGCGCCGCCGAGGAGGGCTGGACCCGGCCGCCGCGCACCATGCGAGAGGAGGAGAACCCGGTCAGAACGCAACAGTGAGAAACGCGCGCGCTGGCTGGATAGCCAGCCCGCACGCGGCGGATCTGCCATTGGTTTGCCATCCGCCCTCCCGCATTTGGGGTGGGACGCCGGCCGAGGGATGGGATCGAGGAGGAGCCGAGGTGCTAAGAGGCGGACGCCTGTCGCCTGAGATGCTGCTTGCGGCCAGAGGGATGAGGATGCCGACAGACGAAAAAGAAACAAGCGAGGGTTTTTTTTCGAGCAATCCCTGCGTAAATTCGAAAACTACCGGTGTACTGCTAATCCAACGGATGGAGTAAAAAGGCTTAAGTGCAAAAATAAAAGGCTGAATTCTTGGAGGTCTCGAGAAAAAAAATATGTAAAATTAATTTTAAGAGTATATCTGAAGAGATGATTTTAAGTTATAATAGTAAAATTTAAATATCTGATACGTTGGGAGCGGGAGTGGAGTGCAGTGCGCTCTCAATTGCCCTGCGTGCATGGGCCGGCCCATGTTCCCTGGTCGACCAGAAAAATTGGGCCGGCCCAATCAGCCTTACGAGTAACCATTGTAATTGGGCGGGTCTCTTGCCCAGGTCTTCTGGGCCCAACAGTAACTTATTAGAGTGGAAAATTCCGGGTGAAGGCTTTGGATTGGAAGGCCTGGCTCACGAAGTCACGAGACGAAAGCACCTTATCCGTTTCGTCTCCCGCGCGTCCCCCTCTGCCCGGCGGGCGAGACGACGGAGCCTTGGACCGGGCGGCGGCCATGGCGCCGTTCGTGTCCAGGTTGCTGTCGCCATCTCCGTCCCACGAGGCCTCCACCTGGAGCCGCCGCCTCCTTCCCCGAGCAACAATGGCATCGCCCAATCCCAGCCCGGCCGGCCGTCGAATCGCGCCGCCGCCGCCGGCCAGGTACCGTGCGCGCGCCCCATGCTCTGCTCCTTCCTCTGTCCTCCCTACTCTTGTAACCTATCCCACCCCAGGATCCGATCGTGAGAACTCACTGGGGACCTGCGTGTGTGCGCATACAGCTGTCCAGCAAGGCGCTTCGCCCCGAGCTGCGCCTCCGCATCAGACCGCGGCGGCGCGAGCGCGACGGCGGCGGGCCTGGACACAGCCGAGGAGGAGGAGGCAGAGGTCGACGAACTTCCGTTCGTCCATCTGTCTTCGGACATCCTCCAGACGGAGCTGAGCTTGCTCAAGGCCGACGCGCCCCCGGCCGGCGGCGTCGGCGACTCGTCTCTCGGCATCACCGCTCTTGAGAACGGAGACGGCGAGGATGTTAGCCTCTCGGGAGGAAGAGAAGCCGCTGCTTACCCGGCTGCCATGAACGGTACGCAGGTGCTCGCTCAGCAAGCAAGCAAGCACCAATTTCGAGTACTCGTTGCTCACGTACGTTTCCAACTGAACTGAACATGGCAGCGTTGTACGCGGCCTGCCTCGCCGGGAACGTGACCGAGCAGCTGTGGAACTTCACCTGGCCCGCCGCCATCGCCACGCTGCACCCGAGCCTCCTCCCTGTCGCCGTCCTCGGCTTCTTCTCAAAGGTGCGCGTGCGCCTGCCACACTCTCTGCAGACTAGTTCCGAGTTTCTGACTGAGGCCGGCGTGCGATCCGATGCGTGCGCAGCTCGTGGTGTTCGCGGCGGGCCCGCTGGTGGGGGATCTCGTGAGCTCGCTCCCTCGTATCCCCGCGTACCGATCACTGACGGTGATCCAGACGGCTGCGCACCTGGTGTCGGCGGCGATGGTCACGTACGCCTTCACCGTCCCTCGAACTTCATCTGCCTCGGCGCTGCTCCTGCAGCCGTGGTTCGCCGTGCTGGTGGCGTCCACGGCCGTCGACCGCCTCTCCTGCGTCTCCCTCGGCGTCATCGCAGAGCGCGACTTCGTCGTCCAGGTACACGACATTGCCAATGCAAAGAGATGTTCAGACCTGGAACCATTTCCTCTCATGAGAATGATGAGATCTCTGACACTGTGGCTGGCTGAACTAGCTAGCAGGGGAAGGCAGGCCGATCGCGCTGGCGCGGGCGAACGCGGCGCTCAGCAGGGTCGATCTCCTCTGCGAGGTACAATCATCTCCTGACCTGACCAGTGACCACTGCAGTTCAAGGCGACGTAGTAGCGATCCCCGTCCGATCATCATCATCTCCGTGATGCGTTTTTGAGTGCAGATGGCGGGGGCGTCCATCTTCGCCGTGCTGCTCGCCAGGAACGACCCGGGGACCTGCGTCAGGCTCTCCTGCGCCATCTCGCTCTGTTCCCTGCCCCTTCTGTTTTTTCTAGGCGGCGCCATGAATCGGCTCGCAGACGGCATCTTCGACCGCTCTGCTGCTAGTGCTAGTCCGGCCCCGCTCGAACGGTCCGGACGACATGGGAGGAGCACGGCGGTCGGCGAGGCCTGGGAGACCATCAGGCGTGGCTGGACGGAGTACCTCCGGCAGCCCGTCCTCCCGGCGAGCCTCGCCTACGTGCTCGTCTGCTTCAACGTCGCGCTCGCGCCCGGCGCTCTCATGACCACCTTCCTCATCCACCATGGTACGTACATACACCCGCCCGTGCGCGCTGTCGTCGTCGGCTTCGTTCGCAATACACTCCTTGTTCGTCATGGCGCTTCCTCGCGTTGGCAGGCGCGAGCGCGTCGGTGCTCGGCGCGTTCGGCGGGTCGTCGGCAGTGGTGGGGATCCTGGCCACGTTCGTGACTCCATACCTTGTCAAGGAGCTGGGCATTCTCAAGGTCAGCCCATAACATGCTTGCCAGTAACAACGCGTTCGACCGTGTGTCAGTTCTGACACCGCCGCTGTGTGTTCTTCGTTCCGTGCACCATGACAGGCCGGAGCGGCAGGGCTGGTCGCGCAGAGCGCGCTCCTGGGCGCCGCGGTCGTGGTCTTCGTCACCGGCCCCGTCTCGCGGCGCGGCGCCCTGTTCGTTTTCCTCGGCTTCATCGTAAGGCCACCCATCGACACTCCCTTCTATTCTCATCACGGCGGCATGGAGACTCTGAGCTCGATCGGAGGACCTGAACGTCATGATGGTATGCATGCAATGCAGGTGGCGTCGCGGCTGGGGCACATGGCGTACAGCGTCATCGGGCTGCAGGTGGTGCAGACGGGGAACCCCATGGGGAAGGCCAAGCTGATCGGCGCCACGGAGATCGCGATGGCCAGCCTCGCCGAGCTCGCCATGATGGCTGTCGCCGCTGTCGCCGGGGACGCCGCGCACTTCGGCTGCCTGGCCGCGCTCTCGGCCGCGTCTGTCGCCGCCGCCGCAGGCCTGTTCTGCGCGTGGCTGGCCAACCCCACCGACGACCTCAGGAGGCTCTTCCCATGCTAATATAGGACAAGGAGGCACAATTTTTTCTCGGTATTCGTCAATTCGTGTACGTAGCTCCAAAAGTGTTGTAGGTATATATAGCTCCAAAATTTTGCCAGTTTCTGCATCCACTGTTTGTTTATCTTAATAAGACTAAGTTAAAAGATCACACTCGGCAATAGAGCAAAAGCATCTTTTTGGCACTCTCGCCTGCTGGTTGAATGGTGAATACCCAAATATACTTGGCCAGCTGGGCCAAACACGATGGCCCGGCACTGGCACGGCACTAATAAGCACGGCCCGGCTCACACCGTGCCCGTGCCTGGCACGGCCCGGTCGTAGTGCTGTGCCTGGGGCGCCATGTCGGCCTATAGTGCAGGCCCAGACACGGCACGGATAACAGGCCCCGGTTATTCTCAGTCGTTGGATCATCTTCAAGTATTCCTGACCATTGAATGTAGCTCTTGATAGAAAACCTAGGTATAAAAGTTACCTCCATCCTCGTTCTCTCTCATTTTCCTCCCTCCCAGCCGCAACTCTCTCGCTCGGTCCTTCTCCGAGTCCCAAACGACCGAAGCGCCGAATCCTCTCCGCCTCTCGCTCACTAGGCCAGCGGCCGCATGTCCTAGGCCACTCCCTCCCCTGCTCCCTTCTCCCCTCCAAACGTGGCTACGACGACGGCGCGACGGCCTCGCGCAAGGCATGGCTGCTGCGGTGGCGGAGCGGCGGCCACGAGCGCAAGACGCGGCGGCAGAGCGACAGCCTCGAGTATGAGGCACGGCTGCGGGTGGCACGGTCACGTGCGGGCTGCCGTGCCGTGCCTGGGCTACGACCTTGGCACGGCGGCACTAACAGGCACAACACGGCTAAGCTGCCGTGCCTAGTCGTGCCCGTGCCCGTGCCGTGCCGTGCGGCCCGGTTGGCCATGTATATACCCAAAGGACGTGGCACGCTTGATTTTTTAAACCAGTAAGCAAACTTTGTCCAAAAATAATTAAGTGAGGGATATTTAATCTCTTGGCATTTGATACCATACACCACTTCACTCAGTTTACTTGGCTTTGACAAGGACTATAGGAGGTGGGATTAAATCTGGAAACTCAGGATCAAATTACATGGAAGCCTCATTGTATGCTGAGAGTACACAATTCACTCGGCATACTTGACACAGTTTGTAGGTGCGCTGTAAACATAGATTTTGACAAGTTAATTTGGAAAACTTAGACACCTCCAACTTGCAAGTTCTTTGCATGGCTAACAATACAAAATCGACTATGAACATCTGATCGGCTTGTAGCTCGCGGTTGGCCCAATAATGATATTGTCCTCTTTGTAGAACCACACGTGAGATCGGCTATCTACCTTTGTGCCCATTGCAGATATTCAAAACGAATATGAGAAGCAATATATTCATATGGACCAATGAAAATTTTCCTAGCTCTAAAGACCGGCACAACATGGACTCAGTGCACAGTGGTGGCGTACGGTGGGGATGCTCGCAGGTGTTTCATGTAAAGCAGTAAGATCGTTGATGCTTCTTGACATTTGGGAGCTATGGAGGGAGCATAACTCACGGCTTTCGAGCATCGGCGTAAATCTCTGATGATAATGATTGCAAAGATCAAGAAAGAGGCTAGACTATGGTGTAGTGGGGGAGCCAAGCGACTAATAAGAGAAATTTTGTCCATGACTTAGGTCGTTTGCCTCTTATGCTTTGAGGGCCTTTTGTTGTAGTTACGCCTTTTTCGTCAGTATTTTGGCACTTTTCTCAAGACACGGTGCGTGAGACCCTGTAGATGCACTTGCTTGTAGTGCCAAAAGCAGTTTTCTCAAGGACGATTAACGGGCAAGATGTGATATGGTAGGACAAACTATAAACAACTTCTGTCATACGTTGTCTAATTAACAATATAAAGATGTATTGGTGTACCAAGCAAAATAATGTTCCAAAGCTTAACCAATTCCTTAATGTTTACTTCATTACCATACAAGTTGGTTCGACGCATAGAAAACAACTTCAAATCCACAAGCATAGGTCCTCTAGCTTTGAAACTCAAAATACATTTCATAGTGACATCATGAGATCACTATAAAACATCACAAGAGATTATTAAATAGTCCATCGCAAGCAGTGGCAGACGCATCCTCAGATAGATGTCCAACTAGGAGGCTCTAGAGCATCTGCCCTTAACAAAATTATAGGTCCTCCACAGCACCGGCTTTATAGTTTCCTCGTCCATAGAAACTGTCATAACATACAACGAAGCAACATAAATACTTGGTGGAGTACCATAATTTTATTGAGATGTAAGAGACCCGTACAGAAAAAAAAATAGTTGCATTTCCATTGTGTCATACTCCCTCCATTTCAAATTATAAGACATTTTAACTTTTTTTTAGATACATTACTTTTACTATGTATATCTAGACACAGTGGATATCTAAGTGCATAAAAAAACCTATGTATCTAGACAAGACAAAATGTCTTGTAATTTAGAATGGAGAAAGTATTTAACATGTTGTCCTTACGATTGTACATACACATATAAATAATTCAACTGGGGAAACATAATCTCAACTACTGTAGGTTTTAATAAGGAAAACATAATCATTTGGTTGGTCTTTGGTCTTTGGTTTGGATAATGGTGGTGCTTTGGTTTTTGTGAGAGGAAAACATCTGTTATTTGGCCATTTGGTTTGGGCTAGCTGAAACCAACAAGCGAACATACTGAATCCCTTAGGGGTATGACCCCTTCTAGAGTCAGCAGTATATAACACAAAATAATTCCTAGTTGCTTGGGAACATCAATTCAATTAAGACCAGCCCTCCTAATAGTTTGTTAGAATTGCACTCTCACATTTTCCTTATCTTTCTATGTGTTCTCTCCCTCATTGACAACTGAAATCAGTAGGTACATTAGTACAAGGGAAACAATAATTATTACTTTATTAGGACACACACATATCACCACTGGAAAACTGGACTTTGCCGAGTGTCTGAGACTTTGCCGAGTGCTTTTTATCGGGGCACTCGGCAAAGCAATATTTTGCCGAAAGTGCCGCATTCGGCAAAATAAAGCACTCGACAAGGTGGCTTTGCCAGTGCTAGGCACTCGGTAAATTCTCGCTCTCGGCAAAGCCCTGGGCTTTGCCGAAAGTGCCGCATGATACTTCAACAAAGATCCCACTCGGCAAAGGTGGCCGGCCCGTGACGTGCCACCACCGCCATCGATTTTTGCCGAGTGCCCTAACTCTACCGCACTTTCGTAAAAAAAAATTATTTTTAAAACTTATTTTGCCGAAAGTGCCACCTCCGTGCACTTCGGCATTTTTTTTAAAAAAAACATATTTTTGGCGAGTGTAAGCCTTGGGCACACTCGGCAATTTTTTAATTTATAAAACTTATTTTGCCGAGTGCGTGCGGACACTCGGCATTTTTTTTTGAAAATCAACTTTGCCGAGTGCCTACTGGGTCAAGACTTTCGGCAAAAGCCCACTTTTGCCGAAAGTGCCCCCATGGCACTCGGCAAAATTTTTTTTATTTTGGGCCCAAATTTTTTTCTGGAGTGACAGTATTTCAAACTCTATTTTAAAATTTGGGGCAATTTTGATTTTTTTTTGATATATTTCATTAGTTTATTTGGTTTCGTCGAAGATTTCGGGATATTTAAAATTTGAACTGCAGGTACATGGAATAATGGACTTTGGTCATCCAAAAATTGATACTCATGATATTTAGGGTATGTTTAGGTCGTATCCAGGAACTCACATAAAATCTCGAGCATCTCGTTGATGTAACATGTCGAGGTACTTTCTGGAAATGTGATTTTAAATTATATAAAATGCAAACGAAGTCCGAAAATCATGAAACTTTGTAAAGCGCCGTGTTATCGCATGTGGAGGTGTGGTAAAAAATTGAGCAGGTTTCGAGCAAGTTGTGACGTCGGATGCCAAAAACCCAGACATCTAGTGCAGGAAATGTGATTTTAAATTATATAAAATACAAACGAAGTCCAAAAATCACGAAACTTGTCGATGCGTCGTGTTATCGCATGTGGAGGCTGTGGTAAAAAATTAAGAAGGTTTCAAGCAAGTTGTGGCGTCGGATGCCAAAAACACATGCGGGTTTCGCATCCAACGCCACAACTTGCTCAAACCTTCTCAATTTTTACCACAGCCTCCCACATACGATAACACAACGCCGACAAGTTTCGTGATTTTGGACTTCGCTTGCATTTTATATAATTTAAAATCACATTTCAAACAAGTACCTTTGACATGTTACGTCACGAGATGCTCGAGATTTCATGTGAGTTCACGGATACGGCCTAAACATACCCTAAATATCATGAGTATCAATTTTGGATGACCAAAGTCCATTATTCCATGTACTGCAGTTCAAATTTGAAATATCCCAAAATTGAATTTAAACAAAATAAACTAATGAAATATATCAAAAGTCAAAATTGCCCTAAATTTTAAAATAGAGTTTGAATATTGTCACAAGGCCCCGAAAAAAAAATTTGGGCCCAAAATACAAAAAATATTTTGCCGAAAGTGCCATGGGGGCACTCGGCAAAGTGGGCTTTGTCGAGTGCCTCACCAGGGGCAGGGGCAAAGTTGATTTTCAAAATGAAATAAAAAAATTGCCGAGAGTGCTTTACCGGCACTCGACAAAATAAGTTTTAAAAATTAAAAAAATTGCCGAGTGCCCAAGGCTTACACTGCAAAATATATATTTTTTAAAAATTGCCGAGATCAATGGCACTCGGCAAAATAAGTTTTTAAAATAATTTTTTGTCGTCAAGTGAGCCTCTAGGGCACTTTGCAAAGTTGATTTTCAAAAAAAATTGCCCTAAAAGCCCATCGGCCCAACCCGTGCGGCCCAACCTCACGCCCCCATCCACGCCTGGGCCCGCACCCACCCACCCTAGCCACCGCACCACCCACCCTCTGCCGCTGCGCGGTGAATCGGCACGGGCATGAAAGCCCCATCCTCAGGCTGGCGCTCCGCCTCTGGC